AAAATCAGATTTTGAATAACTTCATTATTAAAGAAAAAAGGGGGTGAGAATGCTTGGTGAATCACTCTGTGTACCTATGTAATAGTACATAATGTGCTGAAACATTTTAATTTACAATGCAAAAAAATAAATACATCTTATCATCATTGCCAAAAAAATTATTTTATTAAAATTTATAAAACTTTATTGATTTTCAATATTTTATAGCATTATAAAAAACTTTGCGTATTAAATTTTTAATAGTTTATACTTTTGGTGGAAACGTGTTGCAGCCATCGCAATTGGTTATAAATTTATAACACCGAGCTACTGTTATAAAGGATATAATGAGATGTATATACTATATTAAGTGTAAAAATTTCAGGTTGTATTGTGTGGTCAGTCTAACTACGGACTACGAGTTTCCAATAAGGAAAAACAATTTTTTTTTTAGCATTCTTCAGGTTTCAATTGATGATGAACGCWCGTTTTAAGTTTTTTTACCATATAGAATGATGAGCTACCTGCGTAGATTACAATAAGAAAAACTCTTGTACTTAAAATACTGTAAAACGTCAAATTACTGCAAGCCTGTTTTAACCACTTGTTAAGCTCAACTTAAAGGCATATTATATAAATTAATTGTGATAAATTCGTTATTCGTATATTATACTAAATGAACAATTTATTATATTATTGTGAGTTTTTAATTTTTAAATCTACAAAATTTAAATTTAATCTAGATTCACTCGTTATTCGATATGCAGTGAAAATATTTTAAACAACCTATTGAATTATTATTTTTTTTTTAAATATAGGTAGGTAGTATTGATTGTACGATCTACATAATTTAATATACATATAATTATGCGAAATATTCAATAAAAATTAAATATGAATGAATTATACGTAACGTGAATTTTATCATCATACAGCTAAAAGTTTAAAACAGAGGAGTTTCGTAAATAATTCATTTACACGCAACTCACAGTACCTATTACGCTAAAATGTAGTTAAAATAGAAATTGTCATAAACATCGTCAAAACGTATTATTATCATATAGGTACCTAATATTAACATTACAAACTATTTTACTCTAAAAAATATGAGTTYCATAATTTTTTTTATTATATGCATTACACGAGTACATGTGCACAAATTATTACAATTAATTGAATGCAGGCAATCGCTACTGAATATTAAAATATATCAAGAAAAATTATGTAGCATTCAGAAAAAAAAAATAGTAAATACCTTGTTTTTATACTTTACAATTCCCGTAATATTTGATTCACAACGACTGCGCAATTTCATTAATAGTATGATTTGAAATAAAATGATATATAATATTATCTAAAATTGCAATACCTATACTTAGATACATATATCTTCACCTAGATTAAATATTTCGTTATAAATTCTAACTCATTATGTAATTGATTGATATATTGTGTTATGTTTTATTTTTAAGTGTCTAATTCTCTAATTGTTCAAATAATTTTACAAATAAAGACGTACATTACACTGACACAAAATACAATTTTTARCCAATTATTGTTTTTGAAATTTTAGTAATGTTTTATATGAATAATTAAATGAAATCAAATTATTTCAGTAAAATAAGATCCTTAATCAACTTAGTTATGCCAAGGACTGACATATTTTTGCTTATAATTATAACATTAATTATAAATTTACAAATACCATAGGTGTATATCTATAGTCTACACCTACAATAGAAGTATTTATTGAAGAATKTTATTCATTYATTTYAAATTCCTAATRAAAGACGTGTAAGAATATTATATTATAAAATATTCAAATCTCTACACTTATTATCGTTGAAGCGTGCGGRTTACATCTTGAMCCATTTTTTATATGTATTGATTATGTTGTCACAAATTATTTATACTCACCTATATAAATTGTGTATCAAATGTATTGATTTTGTTTTTTGGAACATAAAAAAAATAAAAAADTAATATAAAACCAATAACCAGTTTAAATTTAAACCCACGTAAAATTTGCTAGATTTTATGAAAAAAAGTGCTTCAGAATATTACTATTACAGAATTGTRTGTGAKAGTTTATTTTAGGTTTGTGTAATGTCGAAATGTATTGGCTCTTTAGGCCATAGTAGTGTATTGATTAGTTTTTGTAAACATGATGTGTAAATTCTACACCACTAATATTACACATCAAATTTCAAGTTTTAGATTCTGAGCGGAGCGAGGAATGTATTGATTTTATAATGATGTGTTTTTTTTGTGTGTCTGTCATCACGTTTTGGTGCAGTAAAAGTACTTCAATTTTCGACTTTAGTACCTCGTTCGATCAGAATCTAGTTGGTACTTTTTTTTTTGGGGGGGGGTTAAAAGTAAAAAATAGTGCATAATGTGCTATACAAAAAATACGCTATTTGATTATTAAAAATATAAATTATACTTTATAGGTATAACTTATAAGATCATGAAAATTTTGAAAAGAGGTCACCAGAGAATCCATTCTCCACAACTCCTCCCATTTGATAATTACTAATCATAGAGATTTCTGCTATATTATATTTACTATATCTGTTGACTTTCTAATGAAAGGTTAGGTTAAACCTAATGGGTCGATGAAAAATTTCGGCAAAATTGAGATTATTAATTATTATTAATTATTATTTATTTATTGTTATTACGCTTTAAAATTAAATTTCTTTGCAATATTARTCATATAGTTCAGTCACCCCAAATCACACGGAGTATGGCCTCTATCTCAACCGTTAAATTATACTAAAATATAATAATAAAAWTTTCCTGGAACAGGATGTCGCAGGACATAACGAATTCAGTGTGGTTTGAGGAAGAGAACGATCTGATAAAAAGCTGTGGGGCACTGCAGTCGGCACTGGGTCTGTCCAAGAGCTTCAGCACTAGCGACATCGCTGATGCGACCAGTATGGACACCGAGTGTTGGCTGGCGGACAGTGAGGACATACGCATGCCGCACAGCGCTTCTGAGCTGGCCATTAATAAGTTACGCATTAACTCGGACGTTTTGTTGATGGCCACCAACATGCAGGGCCGGTTGGGTAACACGTCTCGGTCACTGTCCACATGCGTGGTGGTCGGCGACATGGCGTCTACGTCGCAGCTACCGTCACCGAGTCGGTACTCCAGCTCACTGCACAACAGCTACGCGCCGTCCGCATTCAGTTCAACTGATCTTGTGAGATCCGTCAACAAAAAGGTAGAACCCTTTAAAATTATTATTTGAATGTGTATATTTGTGAGTGTGTGTGATATTATTTGCAACAGACTGAGTGGTGAAAGTTAGGCAAATTGACAAATTGACAAAAAATCCAACATATTTGAGTACAAATAGGTACAACGTTCAGAACAAAATATAATTGGGTACCTACATATCTAATAAGTGGAAAACCATAGAAGGTTTGCGTACAATAACATTAATTATACTTAACAAAATACATGTACTGTGAAAGACAAAAACATAGATTTTTGGTTTTTATAAATTTAGTATAGATAATAAATAATGATCATTCTATTTTTATATAATAATATTTTATAATATTTACATTAATTTTTTTTTTTTTTTTTTTTGGGGGGGGGGGAATTTATAAAGAGCCAATTTCTTCAAGGTGTCTACGCAGGGGTTACCCATTTCACAGGGTAACGTTAATATAGACAGACTGTAAAAAAAGAGAGAGAGAGTATCCACACTCCATGTAAATACATCTTCACATGTATAATGACATGCAGCTATACTGATTAGTGATTTCATTCGATATAGGAATTAATAAGTTAATTTAATTATTTATATCATATAAAATTAAATAATATAATTATAAATTATAAAGTATTATCGCTACTCTTAAAATCCAAAGGTATAATCAGGTTACTATAGTAACGTGATTTTATTATTAATCATTGGTTGCTAGTGTCTACCTAACTAAATAATATTAATTTCATCTTTATTTTTCTTTGGTTGTCATGGCAACTATAATATGAAATCGGTCAAGAAAATATAATAATAATTTACAGTCTCGGCATTAACAGGATRACGTTTTTGTATAAYGTTCTTAGTGTCGCACAAATTTATAGAATAACCCCAACCATAATCAATATACAATAAAAATCATATACATGTCAATAAAATAGCAATTAAAATAGTTACTAATCAATCTAATATTATATACCTAATAAAAATACTTTACAGCACAATCGTTTAGATCAGTTKGTCCTAAACTTTGTTTTTCGCGTTTAAATAAGATAGATATAACCTATAGGTTATACCTAATGGTATACCATTCATGTTTATTACAGATCAGTCACGTACCACTTTGATGGTTAAAGATATAACTTAAAATTCTGCGAAATATCGGCAGTATTAAAATGATAAAGTAGTAAAAAATTACCTACGTGGCTGCGTTATAAGTTTTTAAATTTATTTTCTACTCTTATGAGTCTCATGTGAGGTCTATATATCGACGATTACTGTAGTATACTGTTGTAGGTATTATCGTAATTCAAAAAAACAATATTTAATATTGACGTACAATAATATGTTAATAATTTACAAAAAATGTAAAATAATATTAAATCCACCACAAACATCAATCAATAAAAATCAATTTATTTTCCGTTTTATCATATTGATCTTATTATACCGGTATTGTGGCTAGTATAGTCTACGTGTGACCTGATTAGCATTCTATTGTTTAGAGCCTAAGATTTACATACGAGGGTAGATACTTGATTTTAAGGAATAAAATAACTAGAACTGATTATAAAAAATTAATAGTACATTTGAATTTAAACAGTTCAAATTTATATTTTATTAAATGATTTTATTCACCTCGCGGTTATGTGGAAAATAAATTATCTTAGTGTTCCCTAACCTTACACCTAGGTAAATGTATATATGTATACTGAATGATGCACTTATGACAATACACCCAATAATTATTATTGACTGCTAGTGCATATTATATAGGTAATAATTAAAACCTGCAATCACCAAAATAGTCCACGGTTATATAGGATGAAAATATAGATGACGCGTTAAGTAATATGTGTGGCTTCAAATAATGTACATAATATGTAGAACGAATCAAAAATATTATATTTCAATCAACACTTCACAGTRACAGTTATTGACGACTCAYTGTGTATTCATTGTTATTTTAGCCACACGACTATGACGGTAAGTATAATTATGTGTGTATATAATATAATATATGTCTTTATATGACTAAATGCCACGTTCTATATTTAATAACTATTAACTGCGTGGTCTAGGTAACCTATTATCAGTATAAAAGYTATTTTTAATAAAAAAAGTGTTTGAATTGTGGTCTGTGGGAATACATTCAAATGGATTGAAATTTTGTTTCAAATGATTAAATATTCAGTTRCCTACGCACATTTTTTTACAATACTGCACCTCCATTCTAACCTTTTTTCAATTAAAACATTGCTATTATAATTACAGCCTTTATATAACACGATAGGAATATACATAAACCATCGCGTATTTTGGGTTGTACACATGTTTAAAACTCATGATTATTAATCATATATAAAAAAAAAAAAATTGTCACTGAGAAAGTACGGAATATTAACACCTCTCCCACTTTATCAACAATATGCACTCAAGTGACACGTATACATTATCACTGTAATAGAGTGAGGTCGATTTTTGTAATTCTTTATTCATTTTTGTTTTCTTACTAATTTTTGAAAACTAACTGGAGTAAATAGCTTAGGTATATTCGTATTGTCGAAGTGTCAAACATTCATGTATACAATATATATACTTACGGAGATGAATACATCGTCAGATGATTTTTTGGCGTTGAGAAGAATCAGCAGGCCATACCGTATACTTATGTATTCGCAGTGGCGATTATGTAGTTTTTGTATTACAGGGAAATATTTTAAAAGCACCAAGGGGAAAAAACTTTATTGCTTCACTCACATTACACTTTCAATACAACAATAAGTCAATAAATTAACAACTTCTTTTTCACTTCGGGGATTCAATAGATACTTTGAAAACCGTCAAGGCATCAAACATAATCATATCTTAAAGTAATAGTTATTAATAATAAATATAATTTATAAATGTATTTAAAAACATTTAATTGCCTGATAGCTACAACTTATTCCTCAATAATCTAAACAACATTATCAGACAACTATCCAGACCATTTATATTCTTAGGTGATTTTTACAGCCACAAATTAATTTGGGGATCAAACTACACTGATACTGGGGAAAAATTCCTTAACATCGAACAAATTATTCTTCTAAACACCAAAGTACACACCCTAAATAATGTAGCAAATAACTACTTCTCTGMAGCTAACCGGATTTGTCAATAAGCAGCTCCGCGCTCACACCTAAAGCTAAATGGAAAGTTCTCATCAACTATAACTGTAGTGATCACAAGCCGACATTTATAGAATTACTAGATGAATCTCCAATAATACTTTTTCCTCTCAAATCGAACACCAAAACCCAAATTGGGGGCCTATACAACGACCTCATCAGTCAATCGATTATAGAAACCTGTCAAAAATAATTTCTTACATTAATCAAACTTTAATCAATTCAATAACTAAAAACTTCACAGACCTCATTTTAGAGGCTGTTTTTGAGAAAATAGGCAAACTCAATTATAATACCGTGAAAAACCTAGTACCCAGATGGAATTACGAATGCTATTGATCAAATCATACAAAAAGTGTCTCAACAAATTTAAAAATCTAATAAGCCACACTCAATGATATTCAACTTTTAAAAAAAGCCGGTAAGGGGGTGTCGCYCTACTGTACAGTAGGTCACAAGTGAGTTTCTTCAATGGATGGTATTAAATTTGAATTCAATATGATATAATATCATTGTATACGAAAAACGATTCTGAGCGGAGACGATTTGTCAGTCTAGGATATTTTATCCTATAGGACACGTATAAATTATATTGTAATTATTTCAAAAATGTAAGTACATAACTATAAAATAAATTCCAAATTAATTAAATCTGATACATTATGTACCCGAATCACTCATTCATTCATAGTATATACAATCTCTTATAAAGTATAAAGTATTAATATAAGTCATTAATGACATTTACGTCAATACCGTTAAACAATCATTTTTCAATATCACCCTATTTAATACTTCGAGTTATATTTTTCGGCGAAGTGTTGACGATTCGGTCTTGAAATATTATTATTCATAAAATATGACACACTCACTTTYTAGTCATTACAAGCGTCAAGCATATTTAGTAAAATCGACCATGCATCGTCTTTACAAGTACTTATTCTTATATATATTTACACGGTCAATATGATTACAATTATTGAGATCAATGATTATTAATTGGTAGTTTTCCAGAAAATAAACAATAGAAAAAGTTTAAAAAAAAAAACAAAAATAATGTTTTTCCAATAGTATAAAAATCCATAACGAAATCCATTTTCATTTAACAAGATAAGATAACCTTTAAATCCTAACTTTAAATATTATATTATGATTAATTATGTACATGTTTCCACTGCAGGTGCGGCAAAATTACATTCAACGGCGTCTATTGATCACTTACAAAACATTGGAACGTTTATCGCTGAGCGAATTCAATTTAGACAAGAGTTCCGGAGGAGGAGCCGACCACGTACCTGACCAACTGCAGTTGCCCGACCGAAATGATGCTACCACAGCCTCTATATCCACCGCCACGAGTTCAAGTAAATATTTGAGCGTACCGAGGACCGGCAAGCCGCTGTGCCCAGACGACATAGCAGTATGCACCGACACCATAAAGCGATATCAGCCAAAAACATTCACTCGATACGACCGGAACATGTTCATAGTCAACTGGCTAGATAACATCGATCCGCAGAACACCTCCGCGGAAGATCAATAATACTAATACACACACACACACGCGATATTGATCATTAAGACTCTAATATAATAATAAAAAGACTTGCTGCAAG